GTATCGACCCTTATGAGGAGAGATCCTCGGTGGCCCATACTACTCAACCTCTCTTATCTTATGTTTACACTCTAGACTCTAATGGAAAGCCTCTCCCTCAAGGTTTGCAACCAGGGTATCCAATCGATACCACAAAAGATAAGATACATATATTTACAACAAAAGGCAATAAATAAAGCAAATAAAGCAGAAAGATAAACACCTAAACATGCGAAGAAGGCAACCTAGACTAGGCCTGACTTGTTTAGGGGAGATCCCCAGTAGAGTCTTCAACTGTCATACCTCAAAAAAATATGACCTCACAAAGAAATTTCGCGGATGGACTAACAGAGAATCACCACCGAACTTTATTTATTCCCAAAAGAGAGAAAGGGAAAATATCGATAAAACCTACAGACAGAAAAGGATAGGACATGGTTGTCGCAACCAATGTTAGGTTTGGAAGTCAGTTATGCAAAAGGAAGGTATTAGCACCCCCTACATCTATTTTACTCAATGGGAACCATATAGGTTGTCTACACATGAAAGAGTGTAATTATCTAAAGGTTTACTTGCTAAAGGGAAAATGGAAGGTCTTTTATTAGGGTGCTCGCCTCAGTTGTGAAACCCCGTGCTTACGTACCCTCATAGTGCAATGAAGAATTCAGAGCTTCGTAGTTCAGAAGAAAAAATAGTTGTGTGTTGGTTGATTTTACCTTGAAAAAGGATTTTTGGAGCGATACCCTAAGGCGCAAAAAGAGTTTCACGAGTTGATGTTGTTTTTAGGATTTTTAAAAGAGATGGTTTAATGATTAGGATTGCACTAAATACTCTGGATAGAGGAAAATATTTCGAATCACCAAGCCAAAATTCTTGTGCCAAAATAATCAGAATGAGTGTAGAAAGCTTCATTCTCACTCCTTATCTACCCCTTAAGGCTCATGGTGTGCAATCCTAATTGTATCTTATTGTGTTTTTAATTTTCTTAAGAAAAAGCCATTTGACGTTGGATCAAGGGTTTGTTTGGTTAATTAAGAAACTGTTTTGGTCAACAAGAAGGTTGATGACGATGCAAAATCAATCGACTTACAAAGCATGAATGCAAAATGAAGTGTAATTGGTAAAGGGTTGATGGTGATGGAAATCCTATTGAATTTGTTTTTATGAAAAATGTTTGACGTTGGGTCAAGCTTATTTGTTTTCTTTTGAAAAGAGGTGGTTGATTTTATTCTTGCATTAGAAGCTACATATGAAAACAAAGAAAAAACGGTAAAATTAGTACACGTATTGGGAGTGGGGGTACATTTTCTCAAATGGGGATAAGAATAAATAATAAACACACAATCTAAACAATACACTACGAGTGTACTAGCAAAGTGAGCTAGTTTTTTAAATGACCAACTAGAATTAATTGATCGAATAAGTTTCATTGTAAGAAAGTCCAAGAATAAGCTATGAATGTTGTGCAATATGTCCTAAGATAATGAAAATTAGAGAAGTCCAAGATCCAAGGCTCCTTTGCCAGGGTTTAAGTACAAGGTCCAAAACTCCATGATGCTAAGGGTAGTAACCATAGTCCAAGATTACATGTTTTTTTTAGGGTTTTTGATCATTTTATCATGTTTTTATATATATATTTTTTAATGAGATAAGAAAACAAAGATCAATAAGATGAAAATGACATAATGATAAAGGCATAAATGATAAATGAACAATGAAATAAATTGCAAAAAAGTAAATGGCGGAAAATAAATAGCAAGAAGATAAGGAGCGAAAATGTAAAAGTTAGATGATAGTTGTTAATGGTTATTGATTGGATGTTCACTTTCTCGAACCGGGACCAATAATTGATGTGAATATTTTTCACTAGTTATTCTTCACAAACCCAGAAGAAGAGATTTTCTTCAAGTTGTGGATCTCACAAACCAAACAGAGACTTATACTAATTTCCCAAAAAGAGCTTTTAACAAGTTTAACTCCAAACCTAAACAATTAATTAGTAAGAAATATTTATTTACACAATAGGAAAAATAACTCTTGGTAAATTTACAATGATACCTTTTTCAGAAAAATTTATTCACTAAACTCAAGAATGTTTCTCAAAGCGTTATTTCTAAAATATGTTAAAGAAAGAGAAATAATTTATAGAGAGATTAGAAAGAGGGAGGTGAGATACCTTACATTTTCTAGATTGTTTAGAAATTAAGGGGAATGCTTATATTTATAGGCCAAGTAATGATTCAATTTAGGAAACAATTCACAGGTAAAATTAATGTCCTAATCAATTAGCTAATCCATAAGGAACATGCAACAATTGATTTTTGTTTCCCAAAATGGAATGTTTTAATAAAGTGTTGTTATCATCTATTAAGACACTATCACAATTGATTATATACTTGTTTCACCATTATTTATTAATTGGGTCATTGTTCAAATCGATTAAACAATTTAAAAACTTTTCGTAATCAACCTAACAGTTTACAATTCCTCTAGCTAGGCTAAAAAAACATTTTAGGTGGCTTTATTTGAGAAAAGGGTTTATACAAGAATATATCTTTGTGTGGGGGTAGGGGTAGGGGAGGGTGATTTAGCCATGATGCTTCCAAGAACGCTCTTATGTTTTTATAAAAGACTGATCACTCAACTAAACACGATCATGCGAGCTCTCACACTTCCTCTCTTTCACACTCTGAAGCTTAAAGTCCTTTTGTTGGATGTACCAATCATATAAGCATGTCACTTGAATCTTCTTAAGAATGAGGCTTGAGATATCTTCAAGTCAGACACCATCATTAGAGGATATCACTGATGTTCATAAAACCCTAATTCTTTGGCTTTAATCGAAGGAATGACTTGATCAACCATCTTATGTATCTTTGACCACTTAATTTAACTTCAATCATTGCATCTCTTCAAGCTTGTTGTTATCAAGTATTGCCATCATCAAAATCGTGATGTTATGAGGGTCAAGTATATATTGCATTAAACACTTTCTGATTAAACCTACAAGCACATAGATCCACACATGAAATAAATATAATAATAATGTCAATGTAGGAACCTTATTCTTATATCCACACATGTGTTCAAACACCTTCGCATAGGCCTAAGTCACATGATCCAGGTATGAAAGGGAAATCCTTAAGTGGTTCAAAACTCCAACTTCAAATTCAATAAAAAGAATGGTGAACCCCACCCTAAAAAATTAACATTAGTACAAAGGCAATCCACATATTTCATATTGAATACATAGGCATTTACCATTTCCCAGAAATGTCAATTGTAAGCCTGAGGATGTTCCCTACATCCCAGTAGGTATACTTCAGTATACTTTAACTTGTGTACTAAAACAAAGTACCTAAAACTCGGACCTCTAAAACATGATTGAGTAGCGTTCTCACGTAGTTCAAGAATTTTTCATCCACAACAGGATATTAGTGGATCCGTCATTCCCATTTTTTTCACTATTCATAGATATATAATTATTACCATAAGTATTACATCTTGATCGTTCCTTCAACCATCACTTAATCTCATCCTCCGTGATCTCATGCTTCAACATTGTCTTAAACCCCTAGAAACAATTTGCACCCTACAATCCTCCATGAGATTCATCATAGGTATACAATTAGTCATCCAAATTTTACCAAATGCAAACCCAACACCAACATGTCTCATTGTTATCATAGTAGGGGGAGTGCTCTCTATCTCTTTGGTTCGAGACGTTGCATCACTAATCTTTATGTTACTATACTAAGGTCAATAACGAGGAAACCTAAACTTAGGTTCCTTAAATCTGCCACTGTCGACAAACTAGCAAAATGAAGAGATAGGAAAAGAGGAAGAAAACGAGTATCTTTCATTTTAAATGTAGGTTCTGAAGAGTTCAAGGTGAATGCAATTCGATTAGATTAAGATGGTCGAAAACCTACAAAAAATTAGCAATAATCAAAGGACACACTGGAAAATTGTCTCTAATGGTGCTTAAGAACAAAGAAGTTGAAAAAAATGGAATTGAGACTCAAGTTCCTAATCTATAGACATTAATGATGCCATGTTCAACGACAATGATTCAGGAGAAGACAAAAGATCATATCCAACGGTCAAGATGAAGCCTTGAGTCTGTAACTACACTTAAGTGGACCTAGGCACACCAAATCCTTACCCTAAGCATGTAGGTGTATGACAAGACCTTCCATGAGGCAACAAACCATGTGCACAAAACACATTAAATGCACATATTCTTGATGCCAACTATCCCCACTCAGCTCCACAATAGAGCTTTCTCTTTCTGAGAGCACATTCTCATGGAAAACTCCTTCAATGGAACATATCCTTTGAGGGACTAACAGTAAAAAAAATTATAACAGAGGAAAATTCAAATATATATATATATATATATATATATATATATATATATATATATATATATATATATATATATATATATATATATATATATATATATATATATATATATATATGAGAATTTTTCAAAACTCACCGATTTAAAAGGGACAAAAACATGTATTAACCTAAAAATAATAACAAATAAGGTATTTAAGTCGTATAAACTCAAAAATTAGTTTATTGTGTTCGCAAAAGTAGACTCATAGATTGCCAACAAAATGGCTGAAATTTTAATTGTGCCACGCACGAATCCTTGGTTAAGAGTGGATTAAGGAACCAGTGGGAATAATAATGACACGTTAGCTTATGAACACGACTCAGATAATTGTTTTACTTATTTAATTATTTAATTATACTATATTTAATTATTTTATTATATTTAATTAATTTGGGTGGTGGTTACTTCCCAAATTATATGTGTGAAATTTCAAAGTATTTTCTTGTATTATAAATGGTTCCTTCCTCTTGACTTGGCTAAGTTGACTTCATTTTCACTATTCCTCCTTACATTTTCTTCCATTTTTCTTTGCAGATCTCACAATATATACACGTTAGTGAAAAGCACTTTCAAAATTTGTTCACTAGCTTTTGGCTTTTTCATTCTAGCTAGAATGGATAATCACAAGCAAAAGAGCATCAATTTTGAAACATTCGTTTGGAGAATCGAGAATTTTTCGAAACAAAACACCAAGAATCTTCGATCCCAGTCTTTCCGAATAGGAGGTTATAAATGGTACGTGCAAATTAATTTAACCAAAAGCTTAAATATTTTTTTTGTATTGTAGATTTTAGTGTTTGATTTAGTGAAACACTCATGGCTTAGGAGGATTCTGTTGCATCCATTAACGAAAAATGTGGAGCATTTTTCAGTATATTTGATGGTTGCGGATTCTTTACCAGCTTATGGATGGAGCAGAAAAGCACATTTCAAATTGGTTCTTGTTAATCAAAAAGATGATAACAAGTCGGTTGTAAAAGGTACACAATGTCATTCTTCATTTTTAGTGTTTTGGTCTTAATATGTTTTACATTGATTTGTTCTTTATATGAAATCATGCATTTTCAGAGACTCATCAGAAGTTCAACGGTGGATATCGTAGTTGGGGTTCATTCTTTGTGAATCTACGTGATTTCCATGATACAAAACAAGGCTATCTTGTGAACAACACATGCATCATTGAAGCTCATATCAATGTTCAAGTTTCATCATATAGAGAATCCTCAAAACAAGAAGATGTCAATGAAACATCAGATGAAAGTAGTACAATAGGATCATTTGATTCCAATGAAACAGAAACATCAGATTTGACACTAAGAGACCTCTTAGATTTGGAGAGTTTAAGAGATGAAGAAGCAATCTATGTTCCATTGTTAGAGGAAGCATGTGTTTGGCATCCTTCTTTGATAAGAAGCCAGAGTAAAAGAACTCAAAGATTCAAATCATGGGCGTTCTCATCTTTAGGTCAAGTTTTGCATATATTAAAGACAAGTAAAGTGGAGGATATGAATGAAGAAGTGAGCAACAACCTTAGAGGTTTATGGGAGGAACTTGTTACGGCTTCTGGATTTAACCTAGATTGGTTGGAACCTTATGTTGAATCTGCATTGAGTATGACAAAACATTTGGAGAAGACATTGAAAGTGAATAAATTGAAGGGAAGGATTGTTGATTTAGAGACTAAAATGAAGAAGCTTAGAGGAGAATTGGCTGAGGCAGAAGTTGAGTTTGAGGAAACAAAGAAAGTCTTGAATGAGTTAAGCAAAGGTTACATAGAGATTGATTTGAATGCTGATTTATCTTACAATGTTTTCTAGTATATGTTTGAATTTATACTTGTAAATGTTGTCCTTTCTAATAGTGTGTTAGGTGTTAAACAAAACCAACATCTTCAAAGTGTTGTATTAAGGGATGAGATTCTCTTATGAATTTTCTTTTGGAGTCTAATGGAAAATTTGACCATTCAATTCCTCCTCAATGATTTTGACTGCATACAATATAGATCAATAATTGGCTAAGATTCTTTTGTACATTTTAGTATGCGACAACATTTTCTTCAAGAAGCTTTGACTTGGAAAAGTATAATCTTCAGGCATAGGACAAAATTTATATTTTTGATGGGTGAGTAGTGTAGTGTGTACGAGATATATCAAAAGAGAGGGTTTTTTTTTTTTTTTTAATTTTATTTTATGATGAGAGGATTGTATTTAGACAATTAGATACTATAATGACGGATCAAGATTAAATAAAAAATAATATTTATAATACGTGAACAGTGCATAAATAAGTATTTTCTTTTATATATATATATATATATATATATATATATATATATATATATATATATATATATATATATATATATATATATATATATATATATATATATATATATATATATATATATATATATATATATATATATTTTGTAGATACTATAATGAGAAGATTGTATTTCTATATTCATTTTTTACGTTAAATAATGTTCGTCGTATTTATACTGTAAACAACATTTTTATTTTTTTAATAAATAAAAAATAATATTTATAACACGTGAACAGTGTCTTTAAAATAGTGAAATAAAATTGGTTAATAAAATGTAAAATGTTGGTTAAGAAATCGGTGGAGTTGGTTAATAAATATCCTGATGTTACAAATAATTTTTAGCAATAAATCGAAATTGGTTAATAAAATGTAAAAAAATTAGTTTATGAAGTTATGAAGTTGGTTAATACGTGTCAAATATTAAGAATAATTTTTACATATATATATATATATATATATATACATATATATATATATATATATATATATATATATATATATATATATATATATATATATATATATATATATATATATATATATATATATATATATATATATATATATATATATATATATATATATATATATATATATAAGGAATCTCACATGAAGGAAAATGTACGATTCAAATATATTTGTATTATTACATCATCTTTCATTCTCTTACTGAGGCATTAAAATGTTAATCTTGTAGGTCAGACTCTCACTCTGTCATAGTGGAAGTTTGCTCCACAGTACCAAGACTCTACTTCACCATTGATCGAACAATCATGTTTCAACAACTTAATAATGGGGTCATCTATGGGGATCGACGTCGGACCCTATAAATTTCCACAATCAGATCCATCTAAATCAAGTCACGGTCGTTGTAGCAATCACACTAAGATAAAGAAAGAAACCCTTGATCTTGTTTCGGATAACACATCATATCCTTCCAACTATGGATCATCCACGATTTTTGTTGTCGATTTGATGGGTGGGAAGAAATTCCTCAAATCAACGATGTAGATCGAGAAGTGGGTGAAAAATATGTTGATTTTGGGGTCTCGAGACCATGGGAGGTGGATGGAATCTCTAATATCGAATGTGTTTTTCCTCACAATCCCTTGAGAAAACGTCTGCAACGACATCCTTGAAAGATCCTTTATTACAGGAATGGGCATTGTAGCCTCTACTGTCTATCTAAAGATGAAATACCGTAATAATTTGGGTAAACCACTCCTTGTTAAAGCATTCATGTGTGAAGCTCACTTATATATCAGGCAATAATGAAGAACTCCATATCATCCAATGTTGCCTCCGGTGAAGTGATTAATGTCGTCAAACTTGACGCGCTGGAGGATCAAATCCTGCAAGACGATGATCTTAGCATGCCAATCGAAGCTAATATCAAGATCCTAAGGTCGATTCCAAATAAGGAGTTTGAAGTCGTTCAACTTAACGATAACACGCGGCGATCAGTTCGAGTAGGTGTTAATCAGTCGACCGGGTTAAATAAAGCACTTGTGAAGTGTCTCAAGGTCAATGCCGACCTTTTCGTGATTTCTGTAACACCCTTATTTTTCTTATATAGTGTGATGTCTTAATTATTTGCATTTAAAAAGTCATAGTAATATAGTTTCATTAAGATCGCATTAAGATAATTCAAATTGATTTAAAAGTTGAAGTATTTTTTAATGGAATACAAGTAAATACCAACATATATTATACATTTGATTACAATATACATAAGTGTCAATTATTCTACTCATAGGCTTACATATTCTACAAATATTAGATATTGATAAATGTTTAGCTTAGTTAGATCTAACATAGTCATATTTAATATTCACATATTACATTCTCTGAGTTAACACTACTAAAAGGAAAAGCCTATGAACGTAGATCTATCTAGTCTACTAGCTATCACAAAACGGCTCTGAAACTTTCCATCACTAAGAGTCAACCATCAACATACCACTAGTATCCATTTCGGATATCTTTGTTAGCACCATCATCTATGAAGTATTTGGATTGATCCTCCTCTAATGCAACATTTCCATTCCCTTCAAACTCATTCTCGCCTATACTTGTGTTATCATGATGAGGAACGTGCGGACCATGAACTATAACACGGGGAGAATAACAGTTGTGAGGCCCAGGCCCTCTAGGTCTGAAGAGGTAGAACTCTTTCTATCATTATATATACTGAGTGATCTTATCGTTATTTCCATAGGTAGTACTAATTCTAAAGAGATATGGTTATTCTTACGAGTCCTGTGAACTTTAAAGTTTGTGTTGTCTTGCCTACCTCCTAAATTACATCCCCATGTTATTCTAAACACACAATTTTCTAAGTACCTGAATGATCCAACGGCCTCCCTGACATCATCTCTATTATAAGGGGTGAAATACTCGTACACAAGTTTACATCATGATAATGTCAGAAGGTTAAACATAATATTATACAATTACATACCATATTTTGTTAGATAGAATATCATACCTTAAATTATCTAATTTTACATGTAGTAACTAATAGAAATAAGGTAGTCACATAGAATCATATAATCACAAAGGCGTTTACCATTCAAGAATACAAAATAGTATTGTCAATATTCGTAAGACAAAGGTTAGTCATGATAAAACTAATAATCCTTAATTTATATCGACTATCAATAGATTAATTATTCAAATTTTCTTAATAATATATTTTATTTAATCCTACTCCATGGAGACATCTATTTCAACATGAGTGTAAGGTTATTTCAACTACCATATCATGACTGTTTGCAATGAGAAGATGTTTAATTTCTACTCCAGTCGTTTTGACTTGAGCACTGCACCTTATTTTAGATAGCCTTATACAATCAGATTTCACTGGGTCAGGTAGTATGATTTCCTCTAGTTAGAGTGGTTATCATCGACTACTAGTAGGAGTTCAAAATACAAGTGACCCTGATAAGGTTTACAACTGACCCAATCTAACATATACGTAGTCTTATATATTTTATTACATTATAAGAAATAATATGTTTTGTGTAGTTACATGTCTCTACTATCCGGTTATTTTGTTGTTTGTCTTATCACTTTCATCTTTATTTTATTTCGATTCATTGAGTCCTCTTCAATATTGTATTTCTCGTGTTTGGATTGCATAGAACTTTGGTTAGATTTGATCTTGATCTAAATGCTCTTTGATCAATAGCATATGAAGTGAAATGAAATCGCTTTGTATTTTTGGACAAACTTTTATTCAAGGTAAAATCTCAAAAAGTTTTTAAAACGTTGAAAAATTTTGAGTTTTACAATATTGGTTCGAATCATTCTGTTTTACACTGAAATTTTTTATCTTGATCAGCAATTTGATCCTGGTCAGATTTTACCTGATCAGTTGCTTGAGAATAAATTTTGTCTAATTTGATTCAAATCAGAATTTGTACATGACTCGAATCAATTTCATTTTTCAAAAATCATGTTTATTCCTATTTGATTTGATTCAAATCAAACTTTGAACATGATCCGAATCAAATTCATTTGCCCAAAAGTTCTGCGAATTCTGGACTGTTTGATCTGAATCAAATTTTGTTCTTGATTCGAATCGTGTTTCCTCACGTTTCCTCTGATCCGAGTCAACTGGCATATTTTTCAAAAAATAGGTATTTCTTTCATTTCAACTCATTTTTCTCATTTAATTCAAACCTATCCACATTTTTTCAACCATTTTGTATGCTTCGTCACAAGCACATATAAATAATTTTTGTCATTATTCTCAATTAACAATCAATCATTCTATTAATATTTTTCAGTGTGATTTTGTGTTAAAATAAAATTCCTCTATTTTGAGTGTTCAAAGTCTTGTTATGAATTTTTCACATCTTCAACTTCAATTGAGTTCGTATCTTGATAATGAGAGTTTTAGGATTAATTGAAGGAGTTAAGTACTTGAAAGTAACCAATGTTGGAGATCTTGTTAAGTCTGCAACTTGATTGCTCCCTTCAGTGGTTTTCACTATCATGTTGTCTGTAACACCCTTTTCTACCCCAAAAATATAATGGCCAATTATTCTCATTTATCAGAGTAATATTTTAAACATAATAAAAATCACCTCAAATGGCGTACATTTCTCAATAATTCAAATCAAAGTCAATGCTCCGTAAACAACGAGTTTTCCCAAAATTACTCAAAAATTGCTCAAATGGCAGCGGAACTCAAAAAGGAAAATCCAAAGTTTTTCTTGCACAAAAACATAATCAAAATAACAAAAATCAAGAAAACATGGTTTAACTCAAAGACCCCAACCCGATGTTACACTATCAGAGCAAGACCCTCTAAGTCAACCAAAATGTCAAAAACTCCAAAAAGTCCTCGACAACATCCACGACTAAACCTGATCATCTGCATGTTACCCACGTGGAGGTAATATTCAAATAGGCAGGGTGAGTAAAGTCATTCATAATAATCAATATAGGAATCAATATATAAAATAGCGTCATTTTCATATTCAAC